AGTCATTTTGTCTGCAGGCTAGTGTTCTGCTTTTAGTGGGTTTCATGCACACTATGCAGAGATCAGTACAGGTCAAGGTGATAAATTTAAGTCTCGCTTAGGCAAATTCTAAGCCCTCATCCGGGTCTTTTGAAGAGATTCTGTTTCACATTGCATTCCTTCTATCCCCAAACCTGAAAATCTCATTGGAAGTTTAAATCTCTGTGGAATTGCTTCCGTGACAGGGCTTTTCCAAGAAATGTGTTCTTCCTGTCCAACAATGCTTTTTAGCTTTCTTTTTTTAAACTTGTTAAAAATAATTTGAATTGAAAATGCAATTGGTTTGTGTTACACTTTAATTTTTGCATTATCTTTTTGTGTTCCCTTTTGTAGCTTCTGTAAAACTTAGATTATTTAACACCAGGTTTTACCCCACGCAGCCAGATAGCACTAGGTGGTTGGTTTTGCTTTTTTTTTAAAATCTATTGCACTATTCCAGTAAAGCAGCAGTGCTTAGCCACTGATGATAAGTAGGCTGAATCAGTTCCTGAAAAATGTCCTATTTTAAAGTGCTTTCTGATTGATGTGGCACTTCAAAAAGGAAAGCCTGATGTCTTGTGCTTGTACTGCTTTGCTTACAAGGATGCTTGTGTGCTTGCCATGCAAAGCAAGCTGAGCCTATGGGGAGTTGAGCATGTCTGATCTATTCTCAGGGAATGAGTTGCTCCTATGCACATAAGTGTCCTTCTTCAGTTTGACATATGTCGTATGATTCATTGTTTGAATCTTTTCTTAGGTTCAAGGTTGGCATCGGAAAGCTACATCCTGTGGTTTCTTGCTGGTTCCAGTCTTGGAAGGCCCATTTGCATTGCCCAGTTACTTATACGGAGACCCACTTCGAGCTCAGTTGTTCATCCCACTCAATGTTAGCTGCTTGCTGAAGGAGGGTAGTGAGCATTTGTTTGATGGTAAGAAATGTTCTTTGTTTTATCCCTTGGTATACTTTTCTGCAAGCAGATCCCTTCTGGCATGTAGCTGACATGAAGAACCTTTTACCAGACGTGCATTAGCTGGATGAAGGGTCTGTTTTTACATTTCAGCAGCTGCCCTCAGGAGGGTGGTGCTGGGAGGAAGCTGTGCTGACAGCTAATCAGTGTGTAACAGGGTATCTTCTTGGTGACAAGAAGTACCATGGCACAGGAAAGGTTGTCTCCCCACTGATCTTTGTTGCCATGATGTTACATACCCTTATGGAGCCTGTATCAAGTAGTTACTCTGTTTGGCATGATGTTATACTGTAAGAGGCTGTTTTGCTGGTAGACCCTGCCCACAGCTGCTCTGCATTTGTATCCTGCATTTGTTTATTCTCCCCCTCAGTGAGATTAGCCTTTCACGACTGCCATACTCTTTTTTTTTTTGTTGCCATGGGTACATTCAGGGTAAGAGTGTTTGCACATGAGATTAAGAGCTAGAAACTGCAATCTCTTCTGCAATATGACCTCGCCCATTTGAGTGATGCTGTTGTAGTGAGTCTCAGGTGGAAAAGATCGAAGATCGAAGAACTCTGTCTCCATGCAGAGAGGTGCAAAATTGTATCATAAGAAGGGACAATTAGCAGATGGCTCTGTTTTAAAATAATAAAGGTGATAGTTTATTTTCATTAACCCTTGACCCAGGTGTAAATGTAAAATAGTCATTGACAATTCGTAGCCCCACTGACTTTAAACAATATTTTCAGAACACTCTAGTGATAAACAGTAGCCCGCTCTCTTTCCTTGCCCTCCCCCCATTATGTTCCTCTCCATCTGAAGGACACAAAACCTAAATTCAGGGATGAATCTGATACTGGAGTGTACAAGACATGTTTCTAATAAGATGGCATTCAAGGAACAGCAGACAGAACAAAATGTGACTAAAAGAAATGGCTAGAAAAAAACAAAGTGCACAGGAGTCTTCTGAGGAAAACTGAAGTCTTGAAAAAGAGGGAAATAAAGTGGCTTTACTAGGTAATTGTTACCTTTTTGTTTGTTTCAGGCTTCGAACCAGAAACATACTGGGACCGTATGCATCTCCTTCAGGAAGCAATAGCACACAGGTATGTATGGAGCAGAATGACTGAAAGGTTCATATCTGCCTGGATAATGTAGGATGCAGACCTGTGCTGAACAGTCACTCCTGAATCACATGGGTGCTGTGCTGTCTGCCTCTCTTGAAGTCTGCTTGCAGATTATTAGACTAAAATATAACTAGAATGCCTGGAGGTGGTTCTGTGGCTGCAAGGGGCGGGTAGTGTTTCTGCCTGTCATTCACTAGCAAACCATACTTTCCTCCTAGGGAGGGTGTTACCTTTGGAAGGTGCCCTGGTATTCTAACTTAGAAGCAGACAGATCTCTTTCTGAGAAGGGACAGTTATTTCCTTCATGTGTACTTAACGCAGTCTTGAACTGGATGACAACTACTGACTGACAGTGGGCAGGAGACTGGGATGCAAGGTGTACATAGGAGGTTGTGCCCAGTTTAAAAAGGAATTCTTGCAAACTGAATACTATTTAGCCTTACCCCTTTGTGTGCTTGAGCTGCCAGTTTGTTTTGTGGTGTTGCTGCCAAGGTCTTTTTCCTGACAGAGACCGCCTTTTGTAATAGACTTTAGCTTGGAAATAAGCTTTCATTAACTGAGAAAGCAGGAGAGGAAAAAGTATTCTACAAACAGCAAAGAACTGTCAGGTGAGCTGCTTGAAGTTCTGAGTGGAATACTGCCCAGCATGAGAAGAATTATCTTACAGCTTGAAACATACTCAGGGAATGTCTGTCTTGACTCTTGCTCTTCCCTCAGTCATGTGCAGCTGCTCCATTTTGTCAGACTGCTCAGTGCCCTCCCAGACTGAACTACTGGTGCTCTTGTTTCCAGCACGAGTTAGGACAGAGATCAATGTGGAGTTACAAGCTTTCACACTGTGCCTGGAAGGGGTGGAGAATATTTGGAGAAGCTCAGCCCTCTTCATCCCTTTTCCCCTTGCCTTCAGACCATAAGAAAAGGGAGCCTTTGTGGAAAGTTTTCCCTGGTCCCCCTGCCTAGGGGTGAAGGAATCCTAGCTGGAGTGGCTCTTTTTTTTTTTTTTTTTTTTTTTTTTCTTCTCTTCTTTTTCTTTTTTTTTTTTCATTTTTTAAAATTCCCCCGGCGTTTGTTTCTCCAGATTTGGATTTGTGCAAGATAAATACTCGGCCTCTGCATTCAACTTCCCAGCTGAGAACAAGCCCCAGTATATCCATGTCACAGGTGAGCAATGTTTGGCAGGCACTGGGGCAAGGACGAGGCTATTGCAAACAAAAGAACCATTTTACATACAGTTTGTGTTTTGTGTCAGTGACGTTGGTCCTCATTATATCTCTAGTCAGATGACAGGTAGGTGTATCAGCCAACACAAACCAGAGAACTGGAGAGGCAGTATGAAAAGCACAGTGTTTCTGCTAATCAATGGCATTGGTTTGAAATCTTGCTTTATAGTGTTTCTGAAACTTATTTCCAAGAGATGGAGAAATAAAATATTCCAAGTGAAGTGTAAATAAGTGTGTATCTTGAGGCTAGAAGGAGGAAAAGCTGTTGGGACAAGTCAGTGCTCTGTTCTCATGCTTAAGGTCAGTTGTAGATACATCTCTACACCCTGTGTAGGAGCATTTAGGATCCACTTGCTCTCGTTCTCCATAAATGTTGGTGATCTATCAGCACTTCCTGGCATATTACAGTAAAATGACTGTATGTTCAGAGGGGTTGCTGAGACATGAAGACAGTGACAGGAAGAGAGATTTTGGAAAGTTGCAGAAGAGAATGGAAACTGATGTAAAGTTAAAAAGATTAATCAGAGCCTACATCTTTGCTTCATTCCCTTCTACCAAGAGCAGGGCAAGGCTAAGTGTGCTCTCTCCCAGTGCTGCAATTTGCAGGAAGAAGTAGCATGTGAAAGCGAAAGAGGAAAAGTGTATCCCTTTTTGTCTTGCTAAAAGGCAATTAAATAAAACTCAGTCCAGTTTCCCTTTCAGAATTTAATGACTCAGGTACCAGCTGTAGGGACTTAGGTCTGCCTAAGACTAAAGTCCTATCTGTTTCCTCCAGGGACAGTGTTTTTGCAGCTACCATACTCCAAGCGGAAATTTTCTTGTGGCCAGCAGCGACGCCGACGCAACTCCACTAGCTCCACCAACCAGAACATGTTTTGTGAGGAGCGCATTGGCTACAACTGGGCCTACAACACCATGCTGACAAAAACGTGGCGGTCCAGTGCCACTGGGGATGAGAAGTTTGCTGATCGGTTGCTGAAAGACTTTACAGACTTTTGCTGGAACAAAGATAGCCGGCTCGTTTTGTTCTGGACTGATTGTCTAGATAAGATGCATGCTAGTGCTCCATGAGGTAGGGTCTTAGGGAGACAGCTAGAAGCTTTACCTTGTGGCAAGGAAGTAGAGGTGAAGGATGACTGGAAAAGGGTTTCTGTGTTGGATTCATCTTGAGGCTCCAAGAGGACGTGATCAATATTGCTGTTGATATTCAATGGAATTTGATTAAGCCCTTGGAAAAAGAATCTGAGCTCTTGGCTTGCCAATAGCTATCACCTGACCTCAGCTTGGTTTCAAGTAGCTGCAGTTTTTGATTGCCAAAACTTCAGTTAGAGCAGAGGTGCAGGAGGGAGAGTGCAGATGGTTTTCAAGGGCAGTTAGACTCGGCACAAAGTGTGATGGTAGCAGCTTACCGTGGTTGGAAAGGTTTGGTGCCATTTGGAACTGATGTGCCTGACAGCAGCCTGCCTCTTCCCCTTTTGAGGTGTACCTGATTGTGTGAATATGTAAGATAAAATGTGAGACACACTTGTTAAATTTCATACATGTAAATAAGTAAAAATGCAGAAAATCAAGTAATCTGATGTTTTGTTGTAACTCCAGACCGCAATACAGAACTGGGTAGTAAAGGAGAATAATTGCCAAAAGGAAATACTGCTTATGTCCAGCATGATAATGAAATGCTCAAGGTTAAGTGGTGGGGCTTTGTCCTTTAAGCACCCAGAACTTTCTATCTCCAGCTCTGGATCTAGGACAGTGCCATGCAGCAGGAGCAAGAAGCCAGTTAGTGTCCTGCAAGGCCCACACCCAAGCCCGAGGAGAAATCGAGGGCAACTGAACACAAGATGTGGCTGATTGGAGAAACATGGAGAATTATGAGCAGATTTTTAGGACATATCTGCACACAGCAAAACAAAGATGCCTACCCTCAAGTACGTAGCCTTTGTCTTTGCAGAGGAAGCTCACCCGTGGCACCAGGCTCAGCACGAGCGTTGTTTCGGTGCGGACGCAGGGTGGGTGCCCGAGCACCCCCAGCAGCACAGTGCTGGGCCTGGTGACTCCTGCTGCGAGGTCCCTGCTCTTGTTACCTGTCCTCGCTCCACGGGGGTCACCAGAGGGCTGGCAGTGGTGTCCAGAGCTGATTCAAGGAGTATCATAGCAGCTGCAATTGTATAACCTAAACTGAATCGGGATGACTTGCCCAGTTTTAGCCGATTTCCACCTAGAAGAGGGGGGCTGAGCTGCAGGCCTCTTCTTTCAGTTCATCACTGCCTGTCTCATTCCCATTAACATCTTAAAAACTGCTCTCTGCCATGAAAGCGACTCGCTGCCATCTCCACAGCAAAACTGTGCAGAGAAGGCAGCTGTGCAGGCAGCAGTCGCTTTCTCAAAGCGGTTTAAGGGGGGTGGGGTGCAGGGGCAGCCCTGCAGGGCCCGGGCAGCGCGCAGCGGCTCCGCACCTGCAACCGCGGCCGCTTTGAACGCTGCAAAGCGCCTCTGCCCCGCCGTGAGCCTGCGGACGGGGCTGGGCTGGCGGCCGT